AAAAAAAAAAAAAAAAAAAAAAAAGCTTTATCAAGCCAAGTCTATTTTGCCTGATTTCTGCTATCTTGTGTGTCTCAGGACATATCAGAAAGATTTAGTCCTGAGAGAGTTAATATTTTTTAAATCACAGTTTAAACCTAGAACCCAGCCGCATGAAGGAGTTAAAGAGCTACAGCTATTTCTTAAGTGTGTTCCATTAATCAACTAATAAATGTCACTATCAGACTTGCCAAGCAGTTTCTGACATTTCTGCCAAAGGGAAAAAAATCAGACTTTGAGCCGTATTATAATAAAAATAATAATGTGAACAAGGATTCCTAGGCTTGAAGTATAAGGAGGTTGTAGTGATTAGGAATGCAAAAGTATAATGATGTACACTGACTTGTTTAAATCCTTATGTATGGTTTGCTCCCATCTGAGCTTTTCAAAAAATACCATCTCAATAAGAGATACTCTAATGACACTGGCAATTGATTATACTTCTTGTGTTTGAAGTCATAGGATACTAGTGAATGGATTATGCTTAAATATGCCAACCACCTTTGCAAATAAATGGTTGGTCTACTTTTACTTCCTAAATCTACTTTTGCTGCATAGAGATGTTGCTTCTCTGACAACCTCTTACCAACTTAGAAACGCTGCTCAGTATATGAATTTGGATGCAGTGCTGTCTGCTCATAATTTAGATGGTCCTTCGATCCACCATGCTGGGCTCATGGAGAAGGCTTCAGAAAACATTGGGAGATAATGAACTTTTCTTACAAGGTTCCTTAACTCAAATATTTATTGAGGGAGAAGAAACTGGTTTCTTGTATGTTGCACTGTATGTTCAACTGGCCTAATCAGGACATTGAAAGTGACAGAAGAGCAGATTTTAACCCAGTATTAGAATGAATTTCCCATAATCAGAGTTGTCCAACAGTGGAATGGACTGCCTTAATAGTAAGCTCCCTGCCTCTGAAAATATTCACTGGATGACCATCTGTTAGAATACCATAAAAAGATTTTCTGTACTGGCTACATGTTCAGTATAAAGTCCTTTCTAGCTCTAAGTTCCATGAATCTATAAACTACATCAGTGCCATGCTGTAGTTAGATTCATCTGATGATAACCGGTAAGACTATGGAGAGGGATGTTAAAAATTCTCAAACCATTCTGTGATCAATCTTTAACGGCAACTACATAGCTCTTCCTTTTGCTTTTGCACTGTGGCAGGAAAAATTCTTGAGCTCTGAGTGATCTTTACGTGCCCTGATAAAAACATTTTAAAGATCCCATGTTACAATATAAAAATGGTTTGACAATTTTGGTTACCATGACTTCCAGTTATATACTGTATTATGAATATGCAGTCTGGTTCTTGTTGGTTTATCTGTTTGTCCTGCATAAATTTTAATCTGTACTTTAAAACATCTATGATAAAAATAGTGACAGACAGAAATTACCCCAGAAAAAGACCTAGGCCAGGAAGTGGGTGGGAGCTTTCATAGGAATACAGCCTAGAACTCTCCATTGTAGGCACATATGGAATCAGCCTTACTTACATGTAGGACTTTTGTGCTTTAAGAGCTCTGGGACATTTTGACCAAATAGAAAAGAAGAGGACAGTGTTTAACCCAGTCGTACTCAATATTTCCAATTAAGATATAATCCTGACCCCACTGTTCAATTAACTTTGATGCCAGAAGTCAAAGCCAGAACTGGGACCCCACAGCTCTTAAGTACTGGTCCCTATCCTGCCTATGCCTATAGCCAGCCACACTGGTTTCCAAGTTCTATGATCATTTTGCTACAATCATGTTAGGGTGAAAATCTGTACGTCAGAACTGTTAAATGCTTATTATTTTTAAGTGCATGAGACCTGGGGCCTTCTCCTTCTACTTGCACTCTGCTTATAATAGTTTCTATTTGTAGATCTCAGGCCTTCATCATAATGACCTCCATCAACTCACAAAAGTATTTGTCTCTATTAGAGTGGCATGTGGTCATTTGAGTAAAAATAAATTATGTGGGTATCAGATTCATAGGCATCCTGTCCATCTAAGACAAGTGTTAATTTTATTGACCCATCAACTGGAGCCCCTTTCCTCTTAGTCATACCATTGCTTTCTGCCAAATTACCACTCAATATCTTAATGAAAGCACTTAACATTAAGTGACATAAACAGTGGCATTTTGGTAAGCAACATTCCATGGGGTGCTGACATATAGTTTGGGTAAGATTAAAAAACACCAAAGGCTGAAATCTGTGAGTACCAAGAACTGTGCATATAGGTTTAGAAATTGACTGTGTACCCTAGAATGTGCAGTGTAATATTTTCAATAGGTGTTTTTTTTAAAGAACACTAGATTTTTGGAATAATATATTTCTAATTAGGACTATACTGTTTTTCAATGGTCCGTTAAAATATCATACAGAATATTTATTTAGTTTGTTGTCATGTATTGGCTAACTTTTCAGGGGCCTCAGATTCCATATGTCTTTAGTGGATTGACGAATTTCAGGTTAATTTGTGCCTGCCCCAGCCATCTCTACTTTACCCTGAGGTATTCCACAATCCTCTTGTTGCAGGTGCTGCTTAAA